CAGCGGCCGGCTTGTCTGACCGCACCGGATCACGGTTTGCTGACGCTGCCTAACGGAGCCTCCTGCAGATGGAGAGTCTACAACAGGGACGCAGTGTACAACAACTGATCAAGCGCATATCCACAATGTTTTACCTTGTATTTAACTCTCTTCTGGACATGGATTAGCCTTAGTCTTGGACTAAATTGTAATATCAATGGTGAATCATTATTAGAAATTTGTTTTGGTCTAAAACCAGATATTTCATAGTAATTTCTGAATGATTCATTGTAGTAACAGAGACACAGAATGCATCATAGTAGATACTGAATAAATTACAGTAAATACTGAATAATTCATAGTAGATATTGAATAATTCTTAATACTTACCGAATAATTCATAGTAGTTACTGAATAATTCATAGTAGATACTGAGTAATTCATAGTAGAAACAGAGATACAAAATGCCTCATAGTAGATACTGAATAAATTAGAGTAGATACTGAATAATTCTTAATATTTCTTGAATAATTCATAGTAGAAACAGAGATACAAAATACCTTATAGTGGATACTGAATAATTCATAGTCGAGAGTAAATAATTCATAGTGGATGCTGAATAATATATAATAGATAATGAATAATTCATAGCAGATACTGAATAATTCTCAGCAGTCAAAAATTTATAGTAGGTACTGAATAATTCACAGTGATTACTGAATAATTCATAGTAGTTACTAAGCTATTCATAGTAGATACTGAATAATTAATAGTAGATACTGTGTAAATTATAATAGATACTGAATAATTCATAATATTTACTGAATAATTCACAGTAGTCAATCATTTATAGTAGATACTGAATAATTCATAACAAATACTAAACAAATTATAGTGGACACCGAATTATTTATTGTAGATACTGAATAATTTATAGTTTATATAATTTATACTGATAAATTCTTAGTGGTTATTGTCGAAGAGTCTAGGAGCTGTGATAGCAAAAGCATGCTATAATTCATATGAACTATTTCTCACCCAGGCAATCTAGAATATAAATAAAATGTAAACGTAATTCATAACATCACTAATTATATAATTAGTATTAACTTATGTAATTCTGTACAACAACACACTCTGCAGACGGTGTCAATTTTTGCTATATTCACACATCAAAAACTGCTTCATAAACATGAAAGAAATCGGATGTCAGGTATGAGAGTATCAGCTTCCCTCCAGAGAAGATAGGCAGGGTTGTTGTTTGTCGTTCCTGTGCAGGAGCTAAATTTATGACCTGAAGCGCTGGTGCAAGAGTGGCAGTTAAGCTGAACAGGAAAACAGCGTGCTCAGGCGGCGAGGCTTTCCTGCGCACCTCACCAGCACTGACCACAGATTCACTTCTGGTTTTCACTCTTAGTGTTCACTCTTAATTCATGCTGCAAGGTTCACTAGCAAACTGTGGTCTCGTTTCCTGCCCTCAGCCTTGTCCATTCTGCTAAGTTAAGCCCTCGTGCTCTGCTTTTGTTTTAAACAAAATATCGCTGTACAAGTAGCAATGATGATCACTCTGTGATGTAGGTTCTGCTCAATAAGTGACAAAGCAGCGGTCAGATGTGAGCAGCCTTCAGTAACTTAATATTGTAACACTGTCTGTTGACCATGACAACTTAGATCACAGTTTTGTGCATCTCCTAATGTACATAAGAAAAAGAATCTTATTTTTTAGTCCTTATTATGATTTTTATATTCATTTATATAAATAACATAATAGCCTTTTTGACTGAAAATTAAATAAGTGAAGGGTATCTAACCAAACCACACATTTCTATACTTCACCTACAACACTAATGAGTAGACTCCTAATAGTACTGCTCTGTTTTTACTCACTATTTAGTGTGCTAGTATTTGGTTTGAATGCAGCAGAAGTAACGCAGCTTGTTTAGATTTCAGCTTGCCTTAGTTATCACTACAGCAACAAATCAAATAAGATCAAGACAATACACTGAAATATATGGGTTAATCTGCTTTAAAAGTTAGTTTTAAAGTGAGAATCCCCCAAAAACCGTGTTTTACTGCCTTTCCTGGATTGTTACGGCTTTGTTATCTCATAAAAAACTGCAGCTGCGCTGCTGAATGAACCTGAAGGTGCCTACCAAAATGGGGGCCATGCAGTATAGGCCACTATGTATAATACGAAAGTCCTAAATCACAATTCCAGTTTTTTCCAATGTTGTCAGTAATCCGATCAACATGTTTACATGCACTTGAGTAATCAGATAACGGGGAAAGTAATCAGATTTCTGCTGTACAACCAGCCAATAAACTCACAGAAGAAGACGCGACGTAAATGTAACGTAAAACTTCATGCCGCGGCTTTTTTTTCAATCATCGCGCCACTTTACCTGAAAATATGAACATACATCATCTAGAAGATGAAGAATATTTAAATCCTTCATTTTGTCAAGCATGTATATGGTTTCAACGTTGCTCCAATAGTGTTCTGCTGCGTCTCGCGGCGACGCTGCTCGCTTATTTCCGGTGCCGCGGTCTGTTTTTGCACAAACAGACTGAGAAATCCAAAAGAAATTAGAGAGAGAGTTCACACGCACTGAGAAATCTGATTACTGAGCTAAAATCCAGCCTCTTTATCAGATTTCTTAATCAGATTTCTAGACCTTACATGACCATTTAAATAATCAGATAACTACAGAAATCAGATTATGATTAGATAATTGAGTGCATGTGAACACACTCAATAATGACAAATATTCGAACATTCTGACTTGTCGGTAAATCGGCTGTGTTAGATATCAGTGCCGGGTGACTCATGACGGGTGGTACGTATAAACGGTCGAAGAAACACTCGCGCATTTAAAGAGTTAAAGGCTGAACGAGCTGAAAACCCCCCTCATATCTGCCTCCGAGACTTCACGCTGATGTGTGTTGCACAACATCCTGCATGGTGCAAAAGATTTCACTGCTAAGAAGGGGCTTCTGTTTTCAAAGCGGTGGACTTCAACTGCATGGGATCATTCTATTGCCTAGCAACCAGGTGACCTTTCCCAGTGCTCCGTCGTTAAGGGGAGGAAGACTCCCTCGAGCTGGCCGGCCGAGGCGGAAACTCACACTGAAAGGGGCATGGGGTCCTTCGTACCTTCCCTAGCTTTTACCTGGCAGGTAAAAAAAAGCCACTGGGTGCTAAAATTATAACGATAGTCATAGACATGAAACATTTTTCGATATTGATGATACATGTTTGAGATATTTTTTAAAGAACTGTTCAGTCCAGCTTGGCAGGTGGAAAGCAGCCCACAGTGGTCTAATATTGATTCACGGTACAGGTCCCCCCCACCCCCCCACACTCCCACACCCACAAATAAACACAGTCTGGGATCAGCCCTCCTCACGAGGAATGACATCACCCCTCTTGAGGAGGTACAGGGCTCATTAGAATGCAGCAGAGAGCCACTAGGCTTCTGTCAATAGTGTCAGCAAAGCAAACGCCCTCTCTGCCTATGACCGCAGCACTTGGACAGGGCAGTGAGGACCTCTGCATCGTGCCACGGCAACAGCAGTGGGAAAAAAACGTGCTGTTAGAGCTGCAGCGACACTATGATTCATCTTTACATTGCAGTGACATTTTTGTACAATTTTGCATCAATATTTCTAACCCTTGCATTGATATTTATGTATTTGTTTTTGTTTGTTTTCCTTTCATTCTTTTGCTCCTAGGCAGTTTTTCCTACCACTGTCTCCCTCAGTGACAACCAGTAAGGGACAGCTATTGCTACAATCCAATCAGTGTAGATCAGATTCAAACCTCAGAAGCTCGACTCGGATTCAAATCCCAGGCACTCAACTCAGATTCAAAACACAGACATTCGACTCAGATTCAAATCCCAAACACTCGACTCAGATTAAAACCCAAGAGACTCGACTCAGATTCAAACCTTGGACGCCAGACTCAGATTCAAATCCCAGGCACTCAACTCAGATTCAAAACACAGACATTCGAGTCAGATTAAAAGCCCAGATGCTCGACTCAGAATCAAATCCCAGATGCTCGACTCCAATTCAAACCCCAGACACTCGACTCAGACTCGAACCCCAGATGCTCGACTCAGATTCAGACCCCAAACACTCGACTCAGATTCAAATCCCAGATGCTCGACTCCAATTCAAACCCCAGACACTCGACTCAGACTCGAACCCCAGATGCTCGACTCAGATTCAGACCCCAAACACTCGACTCAGATTCAAAGCCCAGATGCTCGACTCAGACTCAAACCCCAGACACTCGACTCAGATTCAAAGCCCAGACACTCGACTCAGACTCAAACCCAAGAGACTCGACTCAGATTCAAACCTCAGACGCCCGACTCAGATTCAAATCCCAGGCACTCAACTCAGATTCAAAACACAGACATTCGAGTCAGATTCAAAGCCCAGATGCTTGACTCAGATTCAAATCCCAGGCGCTCCTCTTAGATTCAAACCCCAGACACTCGACTCAGATTCAAACCCAAGAGACTTGACTCAGACTCAAACCCCACAGACACAACCCAGACAAACCCCAGACACTCGATTCAGACTCATACCCAAGAAACTCGACTAAGACTCAACTCAGACTCATACCCCACACATTTGACTCAGACTCAAACCCCAGATACTCAACTCAGACTCAAACCTCAGAGACTCGACTGAGAATTGAACCCAAGAGAGTCAATTCTTGACTCGGCCATGCACCCTACAGACTCAAAATATGAAAAAACATGTTTGTGGAGATACAACCTGTGGAGATGCAATAACCATGATATAACAATATCATGATGCATTGTGATACATTATTGTGACGAGTGAACTAGAATTCCCTGGTGTGCGTGTCAGTCCAAAGGCAGTTTGTACACGAGACGTGTGAATATTGCATTCAGACACTTGGCTGATGATGGAATATGACACATCAACATCATGTGGTTATGTGGAAAAATGAGAGATAAGTAAAATAAATAACAAAAACAAACCTGTTAAGTCCATGGTGATGGGTCCAGGGGCCTGATCACAGATCAGTGTCAGCCTCGTCACTTGAACATTAGGAACAGTGGGATCTGAAAAGAAAAAAGAACACACATCTGTTATCAATCGAACAGTTTCTGTGTATTGCAAGCTCTACACCCACCCACCAGTTAGCACTCAGCCTCCATTCTTCTCGTGAGACTATTTAAAGAAATATACAGGAATATTTTTTCACGCCTCCAAAGTTCAGTCTTAGAAGCTGGTTGATCATTTTCTGAAGTAATCAAACACATTCAGTGGTGTTGAGATCTGGACTCTGGGGTGGTCAGTCCATTGTTCAGCTTCTTTGTTTGACGTGTCCGTCTCCTTTTCTCAGTGAGGTTCTTCTTGACAGCTACACATCCTTTCAGACCCACAGCGCTGAGTCGTCTTCTCACAGTGGAAGGATGGACAGAAACACCTGTGGATGTTTTCAGATCTGAAGCAGCTTGATTTTCTCCTCTCTCTCAGAGATGAAAGCTTTAAGTGCTGTTTATCTGATGGGGGCAGTTTTGGTGTCTATCAGGTCTTCCAGGTGGTTGTTAGGAGACACATTTTCTCTGTAGCGTTTAGTAATTTTTTTGAACTCCAGTTTTGGAATTTCCTTTGACCTTGTCCTCTCTTATGCAAGCAGATTAAACAAGCTTTGCCACAAGTCAGTTTGTGACAATTCTGCCCTGCTAGGTCTGCCCCGGTCAACTGTAAGTGCTATTATTGTGAAATGGAAGCGATAAAAGCAACAACAGCTCAGCCACGAAGTGGAAGACCACGCAACTCACATAGCTGGGATGTTGAGTGCTGAAGCATGTGGCACATAAAAATGGCCTATCCTCTGTTGTATCACCCACTACAGAGTTCCAAACTGCCTCTGGAAGCAACATCGGCAGAAGAACTGTGCGTCGACATCCTCACTAAAGGGGTTTCCATGGCCAAGCCTAAGATCACTATGTGCAGTGCCAAGTGTCGGCTGGAGTGGTGACGTACTATTTACTTATGCAAGTGGATTGTCTTAACCTCTTTAACTCCTTGGGGCCACCGGTGGTTCCAAAATGCACTTTGTCATATTCTTTACTTCTTAACTTTCATATTTTATAAGCTACATTCAAAAGGTGGGGGTCGTATGAGAGCTATAACTGTCCCCTTTCCAGTCAAATAGATGGGTGATGTCATTTTAAACCCTTATTTTAAAAGAAGCTGAACTCACAACTTTTTTTTGTTCTACTGAAAGTCGACCCATTTTTCCACAAATCTGGACTATAAACTATAAACAGATGGCGTCTCTTCAGTGATCTGCTCTGTAAACATTACTTTTATAAAATAATACAAAGAGCGTCTAAGATTTTTGGCTTTCAGCAGTAAATTGTAAGCATATAGCAATATGTGTATGATCATAAAACACATGTTCTGTTAATTTGAGGGGAACCTTGACAAAAAAACCCAAAAATTTACAGTTATTCCATGCAGTTACTGAATAATTTGCCTTATGGCTTGGGCATGTAAATTCAGATGGAAAAAACGAAATATACCTACAAGCATAAGCGGTTAAATCTAATCTCCTGAAAAATGAATAACCTGTACTTAATGGAAATCAAACAAATGTAAGGTGGTCTCTGACTTTTGCACCGAAGTTGTCGTTATTATTATAATCATTACTATCATTATTGTTGTGATCATGTATATTGTGATGCATCATTACTGTCCTAATGTAAATTGTGATATAAATGGACTTCATGTTGCCTACCCCTAATTAATGCTCAGCAAACGAGCCCTGCAAACAGAGGCAAACAGGGCGATTTAGAGCGTTTTAATATTCTCAGCATGCACTCAAGCAGCATCTCCCATTTATAGCAGGAAGACTGGTGGAATAACAGAGGCGCTGAGGGAACGAGTCTGCTGCTAAACACCTCCGATACACACAGAACACACTGCCTATTCTCTCGTGTGGGGCGATGGGAACGCTCTGCCTCCTCCATACATTCATCACGGTGTCCTGGCAGCTGAGATAAGGCTCAGATTGGGCTGAATAGTGTGAGAAATGGAGAAGGAAAAATGAGACTTCATTTACACCTGCAGTGCAACGGGCAGTGGCAGGGAGAGACATATTTATCATCGTGGGCACATCTTCAGATGAACACCATCTATTCCTGTTTGCAGACTAGCGGTTTCTTATAACGATAAAAATCCTACTTTACCAATCCATGTGTTTAGTCACAGGATACAGATGTATTTACAAAAGCATGTCTTTTATTGAGACATAGACTAACATATTTATATCAGTGGTTCCCAGTTTTGGAGTTTTCCCTGATCCAATTAATCAGCCCTTTAATCCTGAGCCAGGATTAGCATTCCTTAAGTTTTATCTACTCTTCTCTTTTAGCATTGTCATTTCTTAATGCAGAAGTGACACATTTTAATATGTAAAAAACCTTATCTACACATAAAAGTATGTGGACACCCTCCTATGTATTATTTCAGCCATTTCGCCTATTGTTAACAAGTGTATAAAATCAAGCACATAGCCATGCAATCTCCATAGACAAACACCGGCAGTAGAAAGAGCTCAGTGTCTTTAAACGTGGCGCCATCATAGGATGCCACCTTTGCCACAAGTTCATGAAATTTCTGTCCTGATATTTATCAATAAAAAAATTGTTTGTTTCCATATCCAACTTGTGTACCTTTGGCTTTCCTGTCTTTCCAATAACCAACTGATCAGGAAATTTTGCTTGTTTTATTTACACACACATATATATATATATATATATATATATATATATATATATATATATATCGCTGTTGTCTGAAGAAAATCTCCAAAATGGTAACTTTACAGGAGAAGAAAAAAACCTACTTTACTTTTAATGTAAGCCAATGGAACCAGACTTTTTTCCAAGTCATTCTGGGTCATTTCTTTTAGTCCATTTATCATTAAATTTACGCACAATGTAAAGGGCAACAGGTAATTTCAAATTATGTGAAAAACTGGAAAACGTCAGAAATGGAGATTAGATAAGAGGTACTACATTGCAGGCTAGTTAGCTTAGCTTATTGGCTGATATGAAATGATACACTGCACTATTCTGTGCTCACACACTTTCAAACATGTCTACACGTACACAAAAACTATGTGTAGAATCAAGTAAATTTTAGATTTTTCTCTGTTCAGTGTGAAAAAACCAGCAAAACACTTGTTCTGCGGAGGCTAGCATACTGCTACTAGCGCTAATGTTAGCTTCCTGTGTTATGCCACCTTAGCAAACTCTTTACAGAGTAATGATTTTAAAAATAGTGATCAACACATCAACCTACCATTCTAGTGTACATTCTGGTGCTCTCACTGGACATGTGATAGTTCTTAGTGACTTGTTCACCTTCACAAGAGTGAAGAGTTCGCTAGACTGTTGTGGAGAACTATTAGGTCCTGATCTTGGGGCCTTCGGTCCTGGACCAAAAGCCAGCACAAAAAGCACAGTTCCAGTTTTTTGGTGCTGAAGGTTCCGATATTTTGTGAGGACAGTGATTGACTTTTTCCTCAGTTCAACTTTAGTTCTTACATTTAGCTCCTAATTTCTATTTTGGGTTTAATTTCATTCTGGTGTGTTGGTTCAGCTTCTGTTCTGCATTGCTGTTGCACAGTGTTCTCATTTTGAAGCTTTAGCAGGTTATTTTAGACCAAAAGGATTAAAAAAGAGAAGGACAGAGACAAACAAACTGCAGTTCCTATACTAATAGATGCTGGATGTTCTAAGAAGTTCCTCCACAGTTCAACTGTGAACTGAAGTAACAATGCTTTTACATGAGCCTGGGTTTAGGTTAGTGGTCATTTTGGCCAACCTGAAAACTGCTCTCTTATGGCTCCTATATCTTTAGATAAGAGTAGCTAATATAACATGAGGGGTTGGGTGAACAGGGCGCAGCTGGAGATATGGTGAACTCAGCACATTCCTCCAGGGTGTTATCAGCTGTGCGATAGCCGCTGGACCACAGCATGGTCCAGCACACCGAAGCTATATGTCATTACACAGATCCATTTGCTTTCATCTCACAGAATGTATAGGAGTCATTCTATGGAAATTTTTGTGTAGTGTTTACAGATATATTACACTTGAAAACATGTTAGGGTTACAATTTATTTATATTTTAAAATAAAACAATAAGTTATTCTAACAATTACACCTTCTTGAGCCTCAATTTTGCAATATTGGTTCTTAAATCAATCATATAGAATTCCAAGCACCACAGAAGAGCTCAACCTCACAGTCATGTATAAAGGCTGAGGCCTTATTTTGAGGTAAAAAATGTTTTTCTGCAATTTTAACTGCAATAATTTATACATGACTATGGAATATATGATTTAAACAACATAAAGAAAACAAATGGCAAATAAATATTATAAAATATATAATGAAAGTTCTGGTCCCCAGGAGTCGTGTCACTGGTGTTACTGCATAACAAAAAATCTTTTATTTTGAAATAAAAGTCACACTGATGACATCACTTGACTTCCTTTTACCTGTTTTCTGAGGATCTATGAAGAAAAGCACATGGTGAGTCCACTGTGTCTTTCAGTTATCAGAGATTTTCTCATTTAGCTCATGATTTCATATGAAGCTTTTAGCTGAAGTCACTGGTGTGACCGACTTTATTCTGAGGTAATTGTGAAAAAAATAGAATACAAAATGGATTAAATTCCATATTTTAGTGGATATTCCATGATTGACAACATGTGGTTTGATGCTCTGTAGCAGCCACTTTGTAAAATGTATTGTTCATTAAAAATGTCTCTGGTGTTCCTTTATTATGTGTAACACCAATGAGGATCGGTAACACCAGTGACTCCTATGGAGAGACAGAAAAGTGGACGTTTCTGTAGAATGACCCATTGAGGATCCATCCATGCCACTTTAATTAGCCACTTTGCAGCTCCGCTCTCTGGCTGGCTGGATGTTTCTTTGCCTCCGAAGGGACCTGCACTGTTTACTGGAGACTTTAACTGCGCATAACGAATGACCGGGCGGCTCACACTGCATTATTGACATGAGAGGGGCTGTTTTTCAAGTGGAGAGCCAAACTTAATCATAGGAGAGCTTTAGTCAGCCACAGATGTGTTCTCATGCAAAAGCACACGGTGACGGCCGCGTAATTCATCACTCAGGCCCAGAACATCCATTACTCCTGCGAAAATCATGACAAATTAACAGACGTCAGAAAAGCCTGTGGCGAGTTTTCAGTTGTCTCCCCTCAGAAATGACTGAGGTTAAACGTTTTGTAAGAAAGATTAAACACATGATGGGGCGTTTTGTCTTTTTCTGTTTGGGCTGCGCAGCGGAAATTCCACCAATCTGGCACAAGCTACAGTTCTCTGCACCCCTCATTTATTTTTTAATCTCCACTTCAAATGGCCATTACGTGCAATTTACTAATTTTTCAGACGTTTCTGAGGAGATTAGATATAAGATAGTCCACTTGGTAAGGAAGGAGAAAGTCAAAGTTGGAGAACTACAGAGAAAACGGGCCTCCTAACAACCACCCGCAAGATCTAGTAGACACCAAAACTGCCCCCATGAAATAAACAGCACTTAAAGCTTTCATCTTTGAGAGACAGAAGAAAATCAAGCTGCTTCAGATCTGAAAACATCCACAGCCATCCTTCCACTGTGAGAAGACGACTCAGCGCTATGGGTCTGAAAGGATGTGTAGCTGTTCAAGAAGAACCTCACTGAGAAAAGGAGACGGACACACCAAACAAAGAAGCTGAACAATGGACTGACCACCCCAGAGTCCCGACCTCAACACCACTGAATGTGTTTGATTACTTCAGCTTCTAAGACTGAACTTTGGAGGTGTGTCTGCAGATTCTTTGAGGAACTGAAAGTGAGTCTCCTGGAAAGAATGGAAGCTGGAATAAAGGAAAAGAGTGACACAATAAACGCTTAAAGTGTTGAATATTTAGTCTGTGAGGCTCTACTCCATTCGTTATTGATGAGTCTATGACCACAGAAAACAGGGCTGCTGTTTTCTAAATATTATTTGGGTGGTGGACCCCTGTCAGAATAGCAGCTGAGAGTGGTCGTCCTCCCTGAAAAGGTCAGAAACTGGACTAGAGGACGATTAACACAAACTGCGCGTCAACAGATGGGCACCAGTCTCTAACTGTGCAAGGGCGGGATTTCTGATAAAGTGGCCAGTGAGTGTCGGCTTTAATAAAATGCAATGTGTGCACAGCAATGCCGCACATAGTTCAGCACGGCACAATAATAAACATGATCTAGAGGGTCCTTGGGGCACGACTGAAGTGATCAAGCAGGATTAGAGGGCAAGGCTGATTCATAAGGTAGCACTCAAAGAAGAAAAGCACCGCTCTCTCCACTGATTCAATCATCATTCGGGCCTGATTGGTCATTATGATGCTGTGACTGCAAGCAGAGCTTCTTTCCCATTAGACTGAAACATGAAACGGTGAGCTATCAACCACAGGGGAGCGCTGCCTTATGCCTTGGGTCATTCCATTGAACAAGAGCTATTATTAACCTGGCCATGGCCAAGAATATGAGAATGAATCATTTATGAATCAGTAGAGTTTGCAGGGAAAACGTCCTTGATGCACAAGTTGCTTTTGACAAAAGAAGCCGATTGATGCACCAGCAAAAACTAATGGAGGAACCTAAATCAAGTTCAAAGCCCTGCGCTGGGAAGAAAACAAGGCTGAAATATTTTATATCTCGGCCTCAAGCTATGAATAAAAGCAAGCTTTCCATTTTCCAGTAGCTCTAAATTGAAACAGAGTATTTGATTTCCATCTGGCTGCCTGCTTCGTTTGGATTACAGGGCTTCGTTCTTCGTAGTTCGTCTTGCATAAAATAAACAAATCTCTGCTCTGTGCCCTTTTCTAGCACCGTAACAATTTATCACAGTCAGACAGACAATAACTAACCATGAAATTAGTCCACTGCGTTGGAACAACATTAACTTTCTTTTAATTCCTTATTTTCATTACGGCCGAAATCTACAATATTATAATTTTGCAATATCATTTTTATCTACATTGCAGAGCTGATGGGGTCTTCTTGTTCGTCCCTTTTAGTTAAGAATACATTGTTTTTGTGGCTGTGAAGCGAAACTCTATTACCCCAGAGATTAGACAGGAGTCGGTCCAGACAGCTGTGCGGAGGGTCTCCGGAGACCACAGCTAGCGCTGCTACTCTAAAGAAGAATATACACTGTCTGATGTGCCGTCAGAACGGAGATGGATGGATACATTTTTTCACACGTCCCATCATTTGTGGGTCGCTGTCTGATAAATGTGGGTGGCGTGCGAGCTCTCCGAGAGTGAACGCAGGAGCGACTGAATGAAAGTGTCACAATGGTAGTAAAAGCTTTTCAGTGCAGCGAGGGCTTAACTATATGGCTTAAAGATGGATAAGTAGAAGATGTGATGTATGACTGGATGGATGGATGGATGGATGAAAGGGTGGTTAGATGGATGGATGATGGATGGATGGATGGAAAAGACAGAGGAACAATAAGCAGATGATGTATGAATGGATGGATGGATATAAGGGTGGATGGATGGTTGGAAAAGATAGAGGAAGGATAAGTAGAAGATCTGATGTATGAATGGATGGATGGATGGATGGATGAAAGGGTGGTTAGGTGGATGGATGGATGGACAGATGAATGGATGGATGGATGGAAAAGACAGAGGAAGGATAAGTAGAAGATGTAATGTATGAATGGATGGATAAATGGATGAATGGATGAAAGCGTGGTAAGGTGGATGTATAGATGGATAGATGAATGGATGGATGGATGGATGGAAAAGACAGAGGAAGGATAAATAGAAGATGTGATGTATGAATGGATTGATGAATGAAAGGGTGGTTATGTGGATGGATGGATGGATGGATGGATGCATGGCTGAATGTACAGACAACTCGACGGACAGGTGTATGGATGGGTAGATGGATGAAGGAATGGACAGATGGAGGATGGATGTAAAAGCAGATGAATAATTTACAGACAAATTAAGGATGTTTGGATGGTAAGAAGCTTGAATGGGTGCATAGATGGATCAAAAGATGGCTGGATAGACCGATAAATAGATGGATAGAAGGATGGACAGACAGACAAGATTGTTAGATGGAAAATGTGGATGAAGCATCTGCAGGAAGATAGAAGATGCTTGAATGGAAACTGGACAATGAATGAAAGCTTGGATGCGGAGACGGATGAATGGGCAAGTGATTGGATGGACGGATAAGTGGTTGGATGGATGGACAGAAGGATGGTTTGAAGAAATGACAGAGGACTGTTGAGTGGAATATGTGGATCAAGCATTCATAAAGACTTTTTAGTGTAGTGAGGTCTTTATTATAGGGCTTGAAAATTATATATCCAGAATATAACGTTGATGGATGGATAGCTGGATGGATGAGTGAGGAAAGCTTTGCAGAGGAAATAATTATATTATTAATTATATGCTTCGAACTGAACTGGAACGTCGATTGCATGTTAGACCTTCTCGTCCAATGAGACGGAGGCTGTTAGAGCTGCATAGAGGGGTTGACTCCATATGAATGCCCATAGTTTTGGAATGGGATGTCCAACAAGCTCATACAGTGACAGTGTAATGAAGATGGATGGACAGATGCAGTATTTTTAGGTAGAAAAAGGCAGGATGCAAGGATGGATGGACTAGACGGAGGATGGGTGGATGAAATGGGTGGGAGAAAGGATAAATACATCAATGCAGGGATAGATGGGTAGATGGATGTATGGATGATGGATGATGAAAGTCTGCAGAGCAGCTGTGCTGGACACTGACCTGACACCACAGGGCCGGACCCCAGCAGAGTCTGCTTGTACTTGTTGAGGCTCTCGTCATCCTTGTCCAGCTCCTGGATCTCCTGCAGGCTTTTCTGGGCGGGGGGCTTGTAGTTCAGGTCAGTCTCATCCACCTCCTCACCCACAGGGACTGTGCTCTCTTTATCTGCCATTAGGCCTGAGGAAACACGGAGAAAGCATACATCAACACAGTGGACAGGAGTAACACGCTGCCTCAATACAGACTGACTCAACCACCACCTCCTAAAAATGCTGCATTATTATATACAAGAGATGCGCAGTCAGTTTAGTCAGATTTCTAAGGCATTATTCCAAAAATATATCCCGATATCTGAACGACGCACCCCACATAATATTACCTTACTTAAACACATGGTGAGTTCAGATATCTTTATGCTCAGATAATCTGTTCCTTTTCATCCTGGTAGGTTGCGAGACATCAGTGGCAAACCGTGACTATTAGAGTTCACCCTTCATTTCGGGTCTCAAATGTCAAAACTAGGCTTGTCTTAATTATAACAACCGCCTAATCGCAGATATTTGAGATGATCGCAGTTATTTAAGCCGACTGCAGCCATTTTCTGCACTCAGATTTCACAAATTAAGCTGCAACAAACAGTATGTGAACTGGGTGTGTTGGGCTGAGGCAAATAAATAATACAATTAAGCAGTAAATGCATTCATTCAGGCAAATTTGGGACTTATGGAAACAAAAGGAAAATGTTCTGACTTCTAATTTGGCACTATTACATGTTTAGAGTGCAGCACTGAGTAATGTTTCTTTATTTGTTAGCTAGCTACATGTAGCTAATTCTAATGTTTTTAGCATGTATGCTAGCAGAATGAGTGTCTTTTTGCTTATATTTTCACTCAGGTGAGGAAAACGTAGCTTAGCTTAACTCTATGTTTGTATGGTAGACTTTTGTGTGAGAGTCTTGATTCGAAAGTACAACCTGTGTTAGCTTCTAGGTGAACATAGCTAGGAGGAGGCTAGTAAGGAGGCTAAGTAAGGTGGCTAAGTGAGGAGGCTAAGTAAGGAGGCTAGTAAGGAGGCTAAGTAAGGTGGCTAGTAAGGAGGCTAAGTAAGGAGGCTAGTAAGGAGGCTAAGTAAAGTGGCTAAGTAAGGAGGCTAAATAAGGAAGCTAGTAAGGAGGCTAATCATCCATAACGATGATTCACATGCACATTTTTTGTGTTCTAGATAAAACGCTTTTATTTGAAGCTTGAGACATACATTAATATATATTTTTACCTTTAGTAAAGAGGCCTAACATAGAGCTGCTACTCTTTTCCATTTCTTGTTTTGTTTTTTTGAACTTTTGAGGTTAATACAGAAGGAAATAGCCAAAATGCCATTAAAATAAACAGCCTGAACATATACTGATATAAAATGTAATTAAAGGAGGACAGTAAATAGATCAGCCTCGACTGTAGAGGCAAAAAACTAAAAATAAAATTAAAAATTAAAATGAAAAGTTCTTTAATTTTATTTAGTAATACGTTAAATAAAAATACTGAAACAAAACAAAACAAAATAAAATAAAATAATGTTTCACACCAGGAGTTAGTCTAATATACTATTTTTACACTTTACAGTACAAATCTCAGTATGGAGACACTCATTCTGCACTTTCACAATACTAAGAACCTCTTTAGTTCTGAGATAAGTAACTCTACTTTCGCTGTTTTCCATTTCCGCCTGTTCTTACAGTTCTAACATGGCTTCCGCCACACCTCACTGACTCCATCAACACCAGAATATACGCGATATAAAGTGTAATGCAAACTATGAGAGCCATTAAACTGGTTTTATAGTGTGTGTGGCTCTCTCGCTGCACTGCCCACTACAGCAGTCTGGCTGGGGTACATTTTCTATACCTTGCTCCCCCCCCACATCGGCTAATTCAATTCCGCTGACCCGGCGTGGACTCACGGATTCATCGCTTTTAATATCCACAGCCATTTGTTCTAATTCCCCCGTTCTCACACCCATCCCTGACACTGATGATAGTGGACGTTTATTTCTATTCGGTTCATTTGGAGAGTGGCCCTTAACCAAAAGCCCACTCTCTGACAGTATTAATATTTGAGCAGGCAACCGGCCCGAGTGTCTGGGAGTAATAATAATCAGCTCCAGCTTCAGGAGCTTTATTAATAAAGGCTCAGCGGTTTTCATTAATTCATGCAGAGCGGCGGCTCACGATTATCGAAACTGATCCCCAGCTGTTGTACGTAACAGCTGACGGTTCTAATAATCGTATTAGGCTGACAGGTTGCAGTTCAGCGTGTCGAGGCATTGCTCTCCGGAGGAATGGAGGGATGCTAAAGCCACGGCTAACCGCTCCCTGTCCAACAGAGTGAAAACAGCAGCAGTCATTTATCATATCAATTAACACTGCAGCGTTCACATAATGGCTTTTCCTTATCACGCACGCAGACACGTTCCAGAGTTCCATTCGACTGAACTGCCGAGCGGATGACATCACGGCTCGGCCGTGCCTGGACAGGAATGAGCGAGAGGCCCCCGGAGAATAGGTATGCAGTAGGGATGAGCAATAGGCCTGGATGATATCTAAAAATAATTAGGACACTATTTTACTGTTAGAAAAATCAGGATTATCGATAATACGATCCGCTGCAGGTTAGACCTGCGTTTCTGTGCAATCTTTAGCTTATGCTTTGTAACGTTAAATAATTCAGTGGCAATATTTAATGAAAATCACATTAAATAGTACAGTTGTATGAAAAAGTGTGAATACTCGCAGTCAAATGACGTTTTATTGATGCAAATAAGTTAACACATCCTCAACACTGAACTTCTGCAAGTTTTAGTGCACAATTTCTACTTATTTCCTTAGTTTAACACATTGGGGAAAAAAAGCAAAACATAAAATATAAAACGTGTTATAACGTTTCGCACAGGCCATATTTTATGTTTCGTTTTTCTCCAATGTGTTAAATTCAGCAAAAAACAGTAATTGTGCATTAAAAAGAACATCAACTCCGGCAGCACTGCTCTGTCTGATCCACTCAGACCAGCACAACGCACACTAACACATCACCACCACGTCAGTGTTACTGCAGTGCTGAGAATGACCCACCACCCAAATAGTACCTGCTCTGTGAGGGTCCATGGGGGTCCTGACCACTGAAGAACAGGGTAAAAGGGGGCTAACAAAGTATCAGAGAAACAGATGGACTACAGTCTGTAACTGTAGAACTACAAAGTGCACCTATATAGTAAGTGGAGCTGATAAAATGGACAATGAGTGTAGAAACAAGGAGGTGGTCATGATGTTATGCCTGATCGGTGTACATCTATGTGCATTGTCACAAAGCAGCTTTGCAAAAATAAGCAGGCCGAGGGCAACAGTGGCAAAAAACTCCCTATAAGAGGAAGAAACTTTGAGAGGAACCAAGACTCAAAAGAGGAACCCATCCTCCTCTGGTCGACACCAGATGGCAAAACAACAACATAACAAGAGCAAACTGAGGAAAGAATACAGTTTGACAATTAACATATAACAGAATATGGAATAAAGAAATCATCCTGTCATTGGACAGAAGTATTTAGATTAAACAGTGACAGGTGATGACTGAGGCCTATACTAGAGATCTATGAAAAACCACTGACCACTGTTAGAATCCTGTCACGATGACACATTAGTATGAATATATCACTGCTGTCGGAACAAAACCTCTCATCTCCAAAATGGTAACTTTACAGGAGAAAGAAAAACATACTCTACTTTTAATGTAAGTCAGTGGAACCAGTTTTTTACACGCCATTTTGGGCCACTTCTATTGGTCCAATCATCATGAAATTCACACACAACGTAAAGGGCCATGGGCATGTTCAAATTATGTCAAAAACTGATGATTTGATGATCTAGTATAGTGAGAGACAGGTGAATGATCTCTATGACTGAATAGTTCTGGTTTATCTTGTCAGTACGTCTAGAACACTGAACAATGGCACAAAGCATTAAAAGTCAGATTTAGATCAGACAAAATTACTCGTTCCCCCTTTACGCCGGCAACAGAAACAGAGTCCCGTTCACACCTGCACAAACTTCTGACCATTTCACTAAATGTGAACGTTCAAACTTACATTTCACTGATTAGTGTTTATTTTCTGATCTGTTACTACTTTGAGCCTTTTCTGTACGGGTCTGTTTAACCAGCTGACTTGCTGCTTCTGGTGCCCCAGGAGACGAGGGAGCAGTGGACGCCCACTTAAGTAGACAGAAACTGTAGGACGTTTTGCCCCATTTACTTAAATAGGTCTGCGCTGTTTGTGATAACACATGACCTCGAGTGATCTACTGCTTTTATACAACAGTTATATTTTATACAACAGAATATTGTATTAAATGTGCCTTAATGTTGGCAACTCCTTCCACCTAAAAAGTAGTTCCCTTTTGCTGTAAGGACCGCAAATATCACTGTGAATATCAGGTTGAGCTCAGCTTTTTCAGCTTTTTCCAGATGAGGCTGAATGCGGTTTCTTCCAGTCAGTCTGTAAAGCGTATCACCGTTTTCTAAATGATATTCTAAAAAATTCTGGCTGATTCCAGTTTGTTTTGTGGTTTATTGGCCAAAAATCTTGCTTAGCGTCAACAACAGGTTCTGAATTATAGTCCTGTGGTCACTCTGTCCTTTTGAATCTGACCAAATCAGGTCAAATGCTGTCTTGTAGGAGTTATCTAATGTGTCCTGTTTCTGTTTTTACATGTGCTAATGTAGAGATTTAGAAAAGCTTAGTAAAGTCATTACTTGGCAACCTGTGCTCAGCAGAATGATAGTGTAGTTGTGAAAAAAAAAAAGTGCTGTTATCACAAATAAGAACACGAGCAGAAGAGATTGTATCCTCAGATCTAACTGTTGTATAACAACTGCATAAACTGCATAGCAACAAGCAGCTGATTGGACGTCAGCCCATTATGACATCATCCTGTTTTATTTATTTGTTCGTCCTTCCCGTTCCTTCATAAATTGTTTTTATTTTCAAACCAGGCGTGTACAAATTCATCAATAAATATTTTGTCTCATCTTTTTTGGCCAAAATTTCTCAGTCTATTGTGAAATGTAAAAAAAGTACTGTTGTTGTTGTTTGTATTGCAGCACTGTGTAAATAGTTCCTCCAGTCACTTTCTT